CCCACACACACCCACACCCACACTCACACCCACACCCACACACCCACACCCACACCCACACCCACACCCATACACACCCACCCACACCCCAATCGTCGGTATTATCTAAAATGAAAATAAATAAACAATTTAAATTAAATGAATAGGTTTTTTTTAGATTTAAAAGTCCTCTCACCAATCTTTCGACAAAAAATGAACTCAATTTACAAGATAATAACCAAGATTAGTTTCATTTAATTATTCAATCAATAAATATTCATAGACATCATTCTATCTATCAAATTCAATGTGTATCATAAGTATAATAAATATTTCAAAAATACTTATCGTAAGCAGTCATTTTTAGAAAACATTAGTAGTTACAGATTTAAAAGAAAAATTTGTAAAAACTATTTAACATCGATGTGGATAAATAAAGTTAATAATTTATAATAACATAGAAGCTCACCTATAAAAAGTATAAAATATCTTGTTGATGCTAAAGTTATTTCGAAAATATTACACACCTTCCATTTCCTTTTTTTTTGAAAACCTAAACATTTCTTCACTGGTCTTCATATCATTCCTATAGTGTGATATAGATAGTGTAAACTAAGCAGAAATGTTAAAATATCACATTTATTTTCGAAGAATACTTCGCGATAATAAATCTCCTTTTTTTTCGTTTAAATAGAAATTAAGTGAACAACGTCGATGTAATACTATTCGAAAAAGACAAATTTAACTCAATTATGGCTTATTGTCGTCTTCGTGTAGAATACATTCTTACGAATATTTAGAGATTCTTATAAACATAATAAGTCATTTAAAACTCACTAATATCTTTTTCAGAGACATTTTTTCTTCACAATAGATTTTTCATCAAGGTTAAAATTTTCACGAATGAGTATCTCTAGAGAAAAATACTTCTCGTGGGAATTTTTATCGAATATGTTAAACTGAAACGAACTGCCAGCTTATTTACAGTTCATTAATGATCTTGAGGAAAAATTTTATAAGTTTGTCAGTAAAAGAAATATAGAATTTGGTGTGATTTGTAATAAAAGTTAATATCTATGCACAGTTTCTGTTGGTAAAGAATTATGAAATCCTTTTTCATTGGTTTTTTTATGACATTTTGGTTGATACGGTGTTAAAGTAGGCAATAAAAATATCATTTTGGTCCCATTAAATCTAGCTTTTCTCAATATAGACATCACTTGGAAGAAGATCTAGCCAAACAAAAGTCGATTCTCACTGAGATTTTAACTAAAATAAAAAAAAAAATTCATATCTGAAATCAGATGGCATTTATTTCAAGACTACTAATTGGAGTCTAATTAGTTAACATGAAGGTTTTCAAAGCACATGACAGATGATCTAAGCTATAGCACCATCTGTTGTGCTTGAACCGTATCGGAGTACTTATTTATATTAATGCCTGTAAATAACCAATCTATTCAAAAATTAAAAAAAACCACAAAAATCTCCCTGCAAAACAGTTTAGTAGCATCAAAATCTCCACCAAAAGTTCGTTTAAATTTGACTTATAAAGAAAGTTTAGATAAATTTTGCAAATAATTAATATCACTCTTTTTTTTTTATTTCGATATAATAAAAATTAGAAAAATTCACAAAACTTATTATATGAATATTGGAATTTGAAAAATATTTTTAAAAAAAACAAAATATCTTTTTAGTATTTATTGAATTTTTTTGTTTAAGAATATAAATATCAGGTGTTTTGATTTTTTTCATATAGAATCTATCTTATACTTTTTTTCTTTCCTATTAGATGGAGTACGTTTCTATAACGTGACCTTACATGTGACTGAACACGTGATTGAATGGAATGACAATTCTACGATTTACCCAAACATCATTTATTTGTTTTCATACATCGATTAATCCACGATGATATTTACATTGTTTGCACCGACAATTGATGATGTTAAACTTATATTAGATGATAAAGATGTACTAATGGATAAACAATCCGATGGAACATTTATATGTTCCGTCGACAATCTTAGTGATGGTGATCATCAATATAAATTTCAAATAAGTAAAAAAGGATGGGTATTAACAACATCCATTGATATTATTGATCCTTACGCTACTAAATATGATCCTGATGAACAAGTTGGTTATATAACAATTAAAAATGGAAAACGATATGAAGAAGAATTTAAATGGCAATATGATCAAATTAAATTACCAGATAATAAAGAATTAATTTTATATGAATTATATGTTGCTGATTTTTCTGATAGTGGAAAATTCTTAAGTATTATTGAAAAATTAGATTATTTGTCCGATTTAGGTATTAATGCTATTGAATTAATGCCAATTATGGGTAAGATAATCGATTTTTGTTTTTATTTTAAATTTTAAAAAAAAAGAAAGAAAACATTTTATTTTATTAAAAATAGGATCAAAAGAAAAAGAACATGATTGGGGTTATTTACCACGTCATTTCTTTTGTCTTAAATCAACATATGGTTCTATTAATGATTTAAAATTACTTGTTGATAAATGTCATCAAAGAAAAATTCGTGTTTTTCTTGATTGCGTATTTAATCATTCTGATAAAGATGCTTCTCTTGCTCTTATTGATAGAAATTATTGGGTAAATATTTCATTGTTTTACTTAATTTCTATTATCATATATGAAAATAAAAATAATTTTCAATTATATATTTAATTTAGTA